GATCAGAGATATCCCTGTTAGTCTATTACATAGAAATGCATCCAGATGAGGGTGATATAAACCAATGAAGAGCAGAATAATCAGTTGAATATTCGATGAAATGTTACGTAAAAGTTCATCGAGCTGTCGTTGATCATGTCAATCGTCCGAATTGCGTCTATTTCCTTAGCTGAACATCAATGATAGGGGGTAAACAGCAAAGATAACTGCATATAAATTAGATTGGAATGATTAAGGCTTGCTTCAAGATGGGCATACTATCAAAATTCACACAAATTGACTTGTTTTATCAAATCCCGAAATCTCGGGATTTTCCAAAACCTAAATCCCGGGATCGGGATCAGAACTGCAATCCGTGGATCCCGTGCAAACCCTGGTTGGGTATTCTTAAGCTATAACCAATCTTATTGTTATGACGCTGTCTTTGCTTACACAATAAACTTATGCTGTTGTGATATTCTCATTCCGAATGAGAATGGTAATTTAACATGTTCAATACTCTTGTTGTGTCTGTTACACAGAGATTATTAACATGGCTTTATGATATACTAAAGTGTTTACGAAATGCATTTGGAAGAGAGGAATATATCAAATGTTTATTTCCAGAAGCGGTGTACTATTTACAAGGATCAAATAATGAGTGAATTGAAAGCAGAAAACAGCAGAATCACATATGAAGTCCTCTTTTTCGTACCCAACACATCATTTTCACTTAAATTTAGTTAAAATTCTGATAAGAATTTGGAATTCAGTCATTAGGAAATGCAAATATTCGTCGATGAAATGTCAGGAAGCGGTTCGGTGAAAAGTTAAGAAGATGAAAGGAAGAGGGAACGAAAAAAGTCAATCGAGACAACAGATGGGACGTGAAAAATCTGTTGCATTTCCTCACATATTTTTAGATTTATGAAGTCAGTTCATATGAATATCGTGTTAGTGGGAAATTGAACTGAAATTAATCTCGCAAGTTCTATTTGCAGAGACAAAGACCTTTATTTGTGAAATGAACTTCTCTATTAGGTTCTATTTCAGTACATTCTCTAATCAGGGTTTTTTGATTTTGAAGATCAACGTAAATTGCAAAATACGCATGACAGTGGAACAGTTGCGCGTAACACACTCGGTAAATGGATTTTCATTTGTTATCAAGTGTTGTTTGATAGTAGCTAGATGAATGAGGCTCAAGAACTTGATATGGAATCGCATTCGGTCCGTAAGCGGTACCGATTGGTGAAGTTGCATCGTATTGTCGTCCTGTATAAGCTTGCACAAATGGTGAATAGAAATACGGCGTGAAGGCCGCATTTATGCTGAAATATTGTTATGTCAGTAAAGTGCATATAATCGTTTGTTCATCGTTAGCAGTATGAATGGATAAGAAATTTGTTTCAGTATAGCATACGTTTACATTTGCCTACACATATACGTTTTTGTTGAAAGCCATCTTTTGAGATACTGTACAATTATCATCTACTGAAATTATTCAGTTCGACAGCTTCAAGGAGGAGTGAGTGGTTAATTTTTTCAGTTTATTTGTCCCATGGAGTCAATAAAATACTATTCAAGGCGTCTCAGCAGCAAATAAGTTCAACGATTCACCGATCTAACGGCCGATAGATAAATGCCTTCATCTGTCTCACCTCGCTAGAGCGGATGAGATGGATAAGATTTACAGTTAGATATAATTGAAGCTACCCTGCGTACCTGCTTGTACTTGATTGCCTCAGAACTTGACCGTTATTAGAGGATGATCCACTGTAAACGGTGGTACTACCACTCGAAGGCGTATCTCTGTATACGCCCGTTAGAGGATTGAATCCAAGCGAGTTGATCGAAGCTACCGAACTCTTTCCATTGACAGAAGTCGTTACGCCCAAATTCGAGGATAAAACTGCATTAGAGGAACTTAGATATGGTCCAACGCGATAGTAATACGGACCGGGAACTAAGTAACTGGGATAAACGCTTGAATAATAATAATATGGTCCCGAAGTTGTAATCACAGGGTTCGGAGATTTATAGTTGATGTTTGAGTTGGTTTGTGTTGAACTGGAATAGACGCTCTTGGAAGGAGTAAAGTAAGATGACGTTCCAGTATAGGTTGCTGAGCTGGAAACGGGATTGGCTGGTGATCCGTTTGTGTAGTTGTAACCATAGATGTTGTTGGTGAATGACATTCCTGCAGTTGGATTCGGATTGTTCTGATAATCTCGAAGGATTTGTTGATAATTCACCTAAAAAATATTATCATTCTCTGTACTAGCAGTAACAAATCAATTGATATCGGGCTATCAACTAGGTTTTAGTTCACAATCTTGTTATCAGTGTTATCAACATTATAAATGGTGATTGATTAAAGTAATTGGTACAGTTTAGTGATAGAATTAATCAGCCTATGGTGCGGTATGCATTAAGCCATATTATTTGCAAAAACTGACCTGGTTTTGCTCCGAATTTGTGAGCACTGGAGAATTATATTGGTTCGTTGGTTGGTCATATAGTGGTTGATTGGCGTATGATGAAGACGCAGAGACTGCAGCGTTATGATTCAGATATCGTTGTTGGAGAGAATTGTTTAAGAATTGATAATTACTGTTCGGCAGATAACTAGGTGTATTAACGTTATTGTCAGTATTACTGTAACTTATACCATCAGTATTGTAGGTGACTGTTGAAGATGGTTGATCATATTGGTTTGGAACTGGAGTAGTATTGCTTGTAGAAGACGTCGATGTAGTACTCGGATATGATGTGGTTGAATCCGTGACGACATATGGTGTGCTTGGTATGGAGGGGGGTGTTACGGGAACGACATATGGTGTGCTTGGTATGGAGGGGGGTATTACGGGAACATAGTTTGGTGCTACTTCTAAAACAACAGTTTCGCTGCATTCATGAAACTGAAATATTTTAGTGAAAATAACTTTCGTTAATCCGGATCAATTAGCAATTATTTTCTTTGTTTACAACGAACGCATTGACGTGATGAATAACGAAATACTTCATGGAAACCTTGTGTTACAGTCGATGTTGTTGTGTACTGTGGTGCATACGTAGACTGAGCATTATATTTGGATGTGCGTGGACATAATCTGACAATATCACAAACTTGTTCAGCTGTTGGGACGGCTGAAGTGATGAATCTGTTCATATTCGCATTGAACGGCATCGGACTCGTATAAAACTGCAAATTGCTCGTTGAACCTGCGGTACTGTTGTCGAAATGCTCAAAACGAGCGAAAATTTTTCGAAATCCGAAAGAGAAGGCTCTCTCATAGCACTTTTCTGTCTGCTTCCATGTGAAGAACATCCTATGTATCGCTCACCATATCCGTCTGACGGCTGAGAGAGTTTTTTGAATGGAGAGGATGGAGAGACAGAGAGAACGACAAATTAGAGATAGTATGAACACTATACAATGCAACAGAATTGATAGCGATTACGAAAGCTCGGAAAGCATCATTCACTTGATTCACGAAGATTATGGAACTCCGTCATAATAGAGAAATCCAGCAAATTAATGTGCGCCTCGGGGTCTGTAAATCATTCCAAACATTTTGTAGATCCCAACGCTGGGGCCATGCACAAACGGAGTGGAGTCAATGTGGCTGAAATTCAAGATGAAACACAAGAATAGGTTCGGTACTGATCGTGGCTTATTAGCAAGTTACGTGGAACAGTTCTTTCGAAAGAAAGAATTTGGAGGGGAAGATTGCTTATAGAACTTGTGAGAGCAAATTGTAGATATGTATCCCATATAATATGCGGCAAAAACAGCATACCTCAAACCCAATGGCCCTCTTTAAGGCTACTAAAATTATGAACCAAACCTAATGTCATAATGTTCAGCTTAAAATCATAAAACTTAATTACACTGTTGCAACATCGCGATGCATTCACCACGAGAACTAATGCAGCTGGGTAGACGCGTAATGAAAATGCAATATCACACAAATGAGAGCGAGGGTGAGACGAAATACAACAAAAGAGAGATACAATGTAATCAATGGACGCAGACAGTGGCCTTCGTATGAGAGATCTTGGACTTGGAAAAATTTTCGCTCGTTGTTAGCGCTCCGACAGCATATCGATAACAGTGCCGAATCTGCATTTGTTGATCGCAATCTCATTCCCCAATTCTGGAAAAGGCTTCGGCTATTTCTTTTCTTGAGTAGTTTTGCTTTTTGGCTTTCATCCTTTTATAAATGAATGACTCGGCTTGACAATGCTTGTTCATTGTTTTCATTATCTATTAGATGTTATTAATAAAGTATTCATAAGTGCAAAATGGAACATTCCTTTCGATATAATTCATCAAATAAAGATCACGCTTGTTGGGAACGTTACTTACTATCCAGAAGTTACAATCAGCCAAAGTTATGCCATCATTAAAAAGTGGCCTTGAGAATTGTGCACTTGCAATACCGGAGGATATTGATGCATAATTGACTGAAACGATATTAGAAGTCGATTTCTGCAGTATGCTCCCCTGAAACTTACTTCTGTTCAAGCATGCTGCGAGCGGTTTCTTAAGGAAACCTTCAAAATTCATTTGATAAAGGTTAGTGTTATCACACTGGAATGTTCAGTTGAACGAATATTGTTTACGTTTTTAACGTAAAGCTTTTTCCTTCGTGCGATTGGTTTACAAAAATTTGGGCTGGTTTACTGCCATCAAGTTATTGTTTGTCTTATTAAAGCGTGAGTGTCGAAGCATTTATTTGGCTCCGAATGTACCATTCACCTCTTCATATCAATATGCTTCTCGTTCCCAAATCTTGACACTGTCCGTTCTAAATGATCGTTTTAGATCGATTTGATTTTCTTCAGTAAAGTAGAACATTATTTGGAAACGTGATTTTTGTAGCAAAACATGTTGATTTGTTTTGATTTGACAGTTTTTGAATATTTTGACAAATTAGCTGCCGATTACGACGCATGTTGTGAACTTTGATCAGGAAGCATCAAAAATAGCCATGCAAATCAAAGACCTGTTGAGCACATAATGAGCAGGAGCTGCGTGCGACTGCTGAACCGGATGAAATTGTCAGTTGTCCGTTTCGAGATTCGAAAATTATCGCACTACCACGAACATCCTTAATTTGATTATGAATTTCAATATGAAATTGAATCAACTGAAGGTTATTTTCTTGGTTTTTGGAGAATGTTTGATCGTTGAATTTTAGTTTTGCGTCACCATTTATTTGGTACTAGTGGCGTTATGTGATAAGAAAATGGGCATAAACATAAACCGTACAGAAGGTTGCCCAAAGCTGACACCAGTCCAATAGTTTCCTGTCATCGGAAAATCCAATTGTGTATAGTTGAAGTAAACAATACCCGACGGATCCGCCGACCACGAAAGCTCATAACCATTTGGACTGTAGAAACTACACACTGCGTTATTAGCTGTTTGTGAGGTGCATCTGCCTGCAGAACTTTTGTATTTCATTTGTGAACGTTGTCATGGAAGTTGTTTCTTTTCGGCTGGTTGCATGGATTATCATTAAGTATGTATGGCATAATACATTCCGCTAGCTAATTCGTTTGCTCTCCCATCAAGAATTTGCTAATGTTTTGTATCAAAATATATTAATTTCGTAGTTTTAAGATGAAATATCTTTCACTTGAAAAGGAGCTGGTGGGTAAGCTTTTAACAAGACAGCACTGGAACCTACATGTGAAAAACGTTTTAAAGTTTGAATAACGATGTCGGTTAATTATGAAGGGAAGACATGAAAAGAATAAGTATGGAATGAAGATGTTACCACAAAAGAAGATTGTTAAGAAGGTGATTGTTAGATGATGCATCACCATTATATGCATCGACAATATGCGCAGCGCTTGCTTGATGAGATTGATTTACAGCTGTATGATTGACTGATAGCGGTTACTTTCTTTAAATATTTATCGTGATTCATATCGTAGACTCAGCAATTTCCGCACCTCACTTCGTCTATTGCGCTGTTTGCGTTGGTAATTGTTGCTGAGCAATTGCTCTTCTCTCATCTTTCTTTTGATCATCGATTTCGAGTGAATATTGTTGAGAATGTAAATAATCTAAACCTGTCTCGATGCTAGAAACACAATGAATTGAAGGAATTTACCTCGTGAGCTGGTTTTGTTGACGAAATCATGATTTATTTTCGTGGACTGATGTAACGGATTTTTTCACAAGGTATCGCTATGAAAGTTTACGTAACGGCTAGGCTAACTGCAATTTCATTCTAAATGAATAATGATCGATGAATAATATCTAGACCTAACCGTTTGAGGTGATCACTTCAAAGTGTGGAATAAAGTACAAACTTTAATCTTGATCATTGGCGAGTGCTAAGTGATTTGTTCAGCAATATTTTTGTTATGTCTTTTGACCAATTTATTGTCCATGAATAGCATTTCATGTGACAGTTATCGTATAGCGCATGTGGTGTTGATGATAAAGTTGTATGAAAGTACTGTATTGAGTAAGACGAATACTCGACTTGATAGTTATTGCGAATTTCATGTATACAACGGGTATTCTGGGTTGTGAGCATCGACAATGCAATTTGGAATGTATTTTAGGTTCGGTTGATTGCATATCTTCTGTTTATATAGCAGTTGTTTAGTTTTTGCGTGGCATTGTTGTTCGAAGAGAGCTTCGGATGTGGGTAGTTGTTTATTTATGTTTGCATGTTTACTGTGCTTGCTCGGCGGTACCTCATTCACAATATCAATGAATAACGAACGCAAGGGATTGTTGTATACCTACAAATGCGATACAGTTATATTTGTCTGTGAAAATATCGTCATGAAATTTGCATTGTTTCATCGCTAACTCGGAACACTACAATGAATAATTCAAATAAATCGATTTCAGTTGAAAATGTTAATCGGTTTGGTGCAAAAATTTACTGAACTTTCTGCTGCAAAACACACATTTTTATGACAATCCTCATTATTGCCACCATTCACTAATATCTGCACATGTTGCCGCTCTAATAGAACTATTCATAATTGCCATAACGAGACAGTTTATGTCAGTATATACTTGTTTCGATTTTACAGACTAGACAAATACGCTCAATTTTACTCATTTGATCAGAACCAGTAACGGGAAAACGATTGTGATAAACGGTAAAAAATTACTGATAGCATTGAAATTTTCAATCGTTCTCCTTTCAAACGACAAAAATATCGAACCGTGCAGATCATTTATCGCTTTTTGATGGAAAATATGGAACATTTCGGATCGTTCACAGTTTTGTACATTTTTTGAACCATTCAAGAGTTAACGCGTTCAAAAAGCTCGGCAACCTTACGCGTTCAGTCTGTGGTGGTTCTTCATGTATATCTGACCTATTACAGATTTTTCACGCACCTTTCGGCAAAATGAATAGTTGGCGACACATAGATTTAAGTGTTTCACTTATATATCGAGTCTCACAATTAGTGTAAACTCGGGATGAGACTCAGCGTCGGCCTAAGGCAAACTCCCTTTACGCTTAAACTCAGTCTTATTTTAGGTCTAGAACGAGCCTGATGAAGGTGAGTCTGAGACTGAGCACAAGGTAATTCTCGGCCTGTGCCTGACGTAAGCCTCAGCGTAGGCCTGATAGTAAGCCTCAGCCTCAGCATGAGTAAATTTCCTGAAGGTATTTTTGCTCCCCTGCATTTAAAATTTTTTCCAAAGTAAATTCAGTGCATTCTTGAATTCGTGTTCAATCCTTTTTTCTGTATCATTCATTGATAACGTTGTTAATTTTTGCCCAAAAATTTAGTTTTGACTGGGGTTAGAAATTGAGGACCTCCGCGATGTTCCGAGGAGAGTCCTATTTTGTCAGATACTCACCAGCTCAGCCACCTCAGATTCCGATGTTCTTTCGCTCAATTGCTTCCACGTTCTCAGCTTACTTCTGCTCATTGAAATGACTACGGTGAAAGTGTTCTCACGCTAGAGAGCGGACTTTCCAGTATTCCACGATCGATTCTGTCGTCCAATTTTTCGATAAACCCCTTTGACCTGTTCACGGAAGAAAGGAATGCCCAACTAGTATCCCGTGTGGTCCTTACCTAGTTTCGACTCTAATATGCTTAAGAAACGATTCACTTCACTGTTGCATTTCCAGCTGTTTGAAAACCCGTTTTTTTAACAATATTTTTTAGTCGTGTAAGAATTTGGCGATTTTTTGCATTATTTCTTACCCATTCAAGGCTGGAATGATTTTTCCCATAAATCATCAGAAATCCATTATGAGTGAATCATTTTCAGTAATTTCTTCTGCATTCATAGTCATTTGGACATCGATACAACCAGTGTGGTGAGTAAATCCATGCTTGATGATGATGATGATGTCGATAATGTATAGTTATATGAATATAGGAAGAGGCCATTTGATGGATTCGATTTTGCAAGATGATTGCCTCTTGAGGAGTATGGGAATGAAACACAAAACGCATTACGCACTATTTAATTGGCTCAATTATTTGGGTATGTATATTGTCATGTTGACTGATGCCATTATTGCCGTTGGTGTTATTTGGTTGCAACTGAAATGTTGCTATTCATGTTTAATAATGTTTCACACTAATCATTTTTTCTTCCTTCCTTCAAAATCAAGTTAATTTCATTGAATATGCAAATAATAGTTCAAGCAAATAGCTCATGAATTTTATCTATCTGATTGTAAGCATTCAATGCATTTTTTGAAGGTAACAAGCAATTTGAACGCGCATTTTTGAACAGATTGCATTACAACGCAAAATACCGCATCCATCTATAGTTCTTACTGCCGTCTGCTCATGCACATTGTCAATTTTTTTTTCATTCATTTCTGGGCACAGCCAGATAGGTCATTCATGAATGTGTAGTAATAATATTGATGCATAACTGACAAATGAACGCGGTGTGATTTATGAATGCCTACAGAACGATGTGTGCATGCATTCATGAACTCAGAAATGTACGTTAGATCATGTATCAGATCAAACTAATTGTAAGATTCGTTTCAGTGTAACTTTCAATTGCCTTGCGTCAAAATTAGAAGCACAACTCTTTGGTTCAATTTGCTGCAGACTGCAATACGCTCCATTAAATAATTTCACACAAACATGACAATCAAATCATCGACAGTGCGGATTCTTATGATGATGAATAACGGAATCGAACTGAGTTGAGCTACTCTTAGTTTCTATGACGCGAATAGATTACCCTGCGACCTGTCGTCGTTCTCTATGGGAACACAGGTCAACCGAGTTCCACACTTCTCAGTTCTGTGTGAACCTTCTCCACCATTGACCGAATAACTTCACGAGTGTCTCATCCCATCTCGTTCTCGGTCTGTCCAGAGGCCTCATTATGTCTCTTGGTGTGCACTCTGTGAGCCGACAGGTCCAACGATTATCTTGCGATATGACCCGCCCAGCGTCTTCTGCTGATGTACATCTCGATTACCACATCTTTTACTGCGGTCATGCAACGCAAATCTTCGTTTCTTATTATGTCCTTCCGGGAAAGATTGCACATTCGCCTTTCCACTGCTCTTTCTGTGATGGCAAACTTTTGTTCTGCGACCTTCGTGGTGGTCCATAAAGTCTCACAAGCATAGAGCGTGGCTAGAAGAACTAAAGACGTTCGCTTTGACCTTCATCGGTAGAGTTGAGCTGTCGACGTTGTGTGATATTTTCCGAATGCAACCCAACCTGCTCTTCTTCTTCCGTCCCATTCTCCGTCAAGACAGTTGTCAGCGTCCATTTGGCGACCGAAATGGACATAATTTTGCACTTGTTCTATTTCTACATCGTCTAGGAGGACTGTATCCTCTGCACAGTGTGCATTCCGCATCCATTTGGTCCTTGCTTAGTTCATTTCCAGACCGAGTTTGTTAGAGATCGTCAATAGCTGCTCAGGACACAGTCGTCCGCGAAAAGCAAATGTGATAGTTTTTCTCCATTGATATTTATTCCCCCGCTGAATTCCATCATTCTGAAGAGCTCTCCCAGGGTTGTTGCGAACAATATTGGTGGTTTTGTAACTCCTCGTACTTTTTTCATCAATTTTTATATGGCACTTTTCGGAGGATCTCTTTATTTCAGTATAACAACTCGTGTTTACCAGTTTCATCATTTCGACGTTGACATCTTCCTCATGTAAAGCGTTGATTACAGCGTAGTCTCTGTTGAATCAAATGCTTTACAGTAGTCTACAAATGCGAAGCACGGGGGGACTTGGTACTCTTTACACTTCTCCAGTGGTTGGCTGAGTACGTGGATGTGGTTGTTAGTGGAGTAACCAGGCTTGAAGCCAGCTTGTTCTCTGTGCATTTCGATTTGTCCTGCGATCCGATTGAGAACTATTCTAGTAAATAGTTTATATGCTTGCGATAGCAATGCGATGGGACGGTAATTCGCCAAGTCCTCAGGATCGCCTTTCTTCCTCAGAAATACGGTTTCAGATGTAAGCCAGGTATT